AGAGGAGTATGACAGTAGTGAGATGTGCTGTAGGTCAGACAGAGGAGTTCAAGGTGGAGGTGGGGCTACATCAAGGATCGGCTTTGAGTCCCTTCTTGTTTGCTATGGTGATGGACAGGTTGACAGATGAGGTCAGACAGGAATCTCCGTGGACAATGATGTTTGCGGATAACATTGTGATCTGTAGTGAGAGCAGAGAGCAGGTGGAGGAACACCTGGAAAGGTGGAGGTCTGCTCTGGAAAGAAGAGGAATGAAAGTCAGTCATGGTAAGACAGAATACATGTGTATGAATGAGAGGGAGGCAAGTGGAACAGTGAAGTTACAGGGGGCTGAGGTCAAGAACGTGCAAGGTTTAAGTATTTGGGGTCAAGCTCAGGTCGGCTGTTTTGGGGAGAAGGTCAGAGAGGCCAGATTGAGATGGTTTGGACGTGCAGAGGAGGGATAGTGGTTATATTGGTAGAAGGATGTTTGAGATGGAGCTGCCAGGCAAGAGGTCAAGAGGAAGGCCAAAGAGGAGATATATGGATGTGCTAAAAGAGGACATGAAGTTAATCGGGGTGAGAGTAGAGGATGCCGAGGATAGAGTTAGGTGGAAACAGATGATTCGCTGTGGTGACCCCTAACGGGAACAGCCGAAAGGTGAAGAAGAAGATATTTATATCAAATCTATAACAAATCATTCTGGCATCTTAAAAACATAGCTAAAATTATAAACTTTCTGTTTAGGCAGGACTTAGAGAAGCTCATTCATGCTTTTGCTTTCTGTAGGGTAGACTACTGTAATGCACTACTGATTGGCCTCCAATAAGACCATCAGACAACTGCAACACGTTCAAAATTCTGCTGCTAGAATACTGATAAACACCAAGAAGAGAGAACACATTACTCCAGTCTTTAGATCTTTGCACTGGCTTCCAGTTAAATACAGAATTCAATTCAAGGCCCTACCTATTGCCTGGCCCCAAAATTTATCAGAGATACAGTATGTTTGCTGAGTAGAAGCGTGGTAGGTGTCTCAGATATACAGGGATTGGTTGGCTAGTGGTGCCCAGAGTTCAAACTAAACAAGGTGAAAGTACTTTTAGCCATTATGGTGCCCACAACTGGAACCAGCTCCCATTAGAATTTAGATCTGCCCCAACTATAGCCACTTTTAAAACTAAACCTAAGACTGTTCTTTTTTCCACTGCTTTAAATGAGTGTTTCTTAATTACACCAATTTTTGCACTATATCTGTTTCTGTCTTTGTTTTTTCACTGTGCTGTTTAGCTGACTGTATTGACACTTGATGTTATATTTTATGGAACAAAGTACACCTCTGGTGTAAATTACTCAGAGGTTTGTCTTGGGAAAACTGAAGTAAAGGGGTACAAGTACTGTATATTGTCAACAGTGAGACTCCACAGTCTGCCACAGCTATAACAAATTTAGTTGGTATTTGCTCATGCATATTGCTACTTGTACTGTCATGTAATTATTGCTTTTAATTGACATTTAATGTTTTATCTATATATGCGTTTTAATATTTCATCTATCTGTGTGCATTGTGTTAAGCACTTTTAATTGCCTTCTGTGTATGAAAATGTGCCATATTAATAAACTTGTCTTGCTTAGTTTTTTTGTATTTTGGTTGTAGTATTTTAAAATTTGGATTGTCTTTTTTATTTTGTCTGAGCTTTTATAATCCATACATAGCCATAGGTCATTAAGTTGTGATTATTACATCAACAAATCACAGGGAATCATCAGTCAACATTCTTTTGTTAGATCCCTCTCCCCCTGTCAATTTGAACACTAGCCTGGATGTTTTTAGTTTGTTATATTGCACCCATTAAACCTGCCTACATTTATTTTCAGTAATTTTTTAATATACTGCCCTAATTTATGAGAAACATGTACTACTATTTTTTGTTTTTCATAACTGGTTTAAAACTCATCTTGAACTGTTGTCAAAGTTTTTAAGTACAAATATGCAATTAATTAAAATGTACAGCATCAAAAATATTTTCCAAAATCTAAAACAGGAAAATTGACAGAAATTTTAATGACAGGTATCAGTAAGTTCAGTATAGTGCAAATCCTTTCAGTAATTTATTGTGTTTGGTGTATGGGAATTGTTTTCCTGCGCAGGAAGCAACACTGGCATTGGCAAGGCCACTGCTCTGGACCTGGCAAAGAGAGGAGCCAGGGTGATCCTAGCCTGCCGCAACAAGGAGAAAGCTGAGGCTGCTGCTTTTGATATCCGCAGAGTAAGTGCAAACTGCCAACCATAGAATTTACAAAATTATGCCACTTGCCACATAAACATTCATGTGGCTGCTGCCTTAAGGCATTTCATCCCTTGTGGAGATTGCATGACTTCAGAAAGTGTTCAGACCCCTTCACTTTTCGCACAGTTTATTGTGATGTATACGCCATTTTAACTGATCAAATTGTCATTTTTGACACTCAAACCCATAATGACAGAATGAAATGTTTTCATATCATTCTTCCTGACAGATCAACCAGACGCCTGTTGTTCACCAGACTTTGTGCTTGGAGTTTTACATAGAGAATAAAATTTTTGTTCCATCAAACCAGAAAATCCTTGTGCTTTCAAATTCATTTAAAGAGCCCATGGCATGTTTTTCCTTGTGTTTTGACTTATCTACAATGTTAGAACGGTGAATTATCATCTTAGACGTGACCTAAAGCTAAAAAAAATGAGGTGTACGTATTTTTTAGTATTTCGATGCAGAAGCAACTTGGTTTATACATGTCTCCCAAACTCTTGCTCGGGAGACTTTTTTTTCTAACAAAATTAAGATTTTCTTGAATCGTCATAATCTTTAGGCAGTTCCACATCCATGTCATCTTGCCTGACATCCACCGGTGACTCCACCATATTGGCATAGCAATGTACTGCATTTTGCCCAATGCTTATATTTTAATCAGGCTGCACTGCTTAGTCTGTGCTCTCTCTACCCTCTACTACTGTCTTCCTGTCACGTCAGCACAAGCAGGTGTAGCATGAAATACTCACCGTTCTCACAGTTATGAGGAACACCAGCTATTTGACACAATTTTTCTTCCCAAAACCAAATTGTTAAAAAATTTGTTAGAAATAAATGTTCATAAAAACCTAGTATTTATCCTTTGCCAAATACCGTATTTGGATTCAGCTCTCCCCAGCGTCACTTGGCTTATATTAAAAATCACAGACTTCAGGCAATCTATGATAGCTCCAGTCTACAGTAAGAATGTTACTGATTTAATTCTTCAAGTATTAAGTGACACAAAAATGTCTCAAAAGTGTGATGTAGGATTCTTAAATCATCTGTGCAGATGTTAAGACCTGACAGTGTGAATATCTGACAGATCAATGATGAAAACTCCACTTTTTTGTGGTACAGTTTTCTTTCTTATTTAGCCTAGCTTCATTGATATAAGGTATATTGGGTGGGCAAAATAATAGAAAGACCTATCTGTGTAACACAATACAGTTTAACAGCAGCACAAACTACATCCTCTAAAATGATCATATAGTTGAAACACCTGTCTAAAACGGTTGCAATAAAAACTGAACATTATCCCCTTCATGAACTATTCATTGCAGAATGGTTGGATCGCACTGCAGTACTTGTACCTAACTAGGTACAACTAATAACTAGGTGTACCTGGGGAAAAAACTGCCAGCTGAGTATATTTTGAAGTGTATTTATTTTTTTGTTCATCACTATTGTTCAGTTCTACTAAATATGTGTATTACAGTCCAAAATACCTTTCTTTATTGTTTTTCAGGAGAGTGGGAACAATCAGGTGGTGTTCATGCATTTGGACCTTGCGAGTCTAAAATCTGTGCGCAGTTTTGCCGAAACCTTCCTGAAGACCGAACCCAGACTGGACATCCTCATCAACAATGCAGGTGAGGATAGTAAATATGATGGAACATTCCATTTTACATGACAAAACAAAAAATGTACTGTACTGAAGGACTGAAGCAACTGTCTAATATGCAGGTGTGATGGGTCCAGGATGTACTGAAGATGGCTTTGATATGGCATTTGGGGTGAACCATCTTGGTCATTTCCTACTAACCACCCTTCTCCGGGAGCGACTGCAGCAGTGTGGTCCCAGCCGTGTGGTCACCGTCGCTGCACTTCTGCATTGCTTTGGAAACATCGATTTCCCTCTACTGACTTCCAAGAAAGATTTGGTATTGAATCAGTCTACCTGGCACAACTTTCAAGCCTACTGCAACAGCAAGCTTTGTAATGTGCTCTTCACCAGGGAGCTAGCCAACATGCTGGAAGACACCAGTATCACTGCTATAGTCTGCACCCAGGTCAGTATCTGAGTTTTGATAGGAATTTGGGGTGATGTAACATATCTGGCAGCTATTTTGTTGGTTAATACTAAGATGGAAAGAACTTTCATTTTTACTCAGCTGTTTCAAGTCTGTTGCACAAGTTTCTGGCCACACCCCATGAGACCTTAAAGAGCCCATGTCATGCTTTTCCTTGTTTTTTTGACTTATATACAATGTTAGAATGGCGAATTATCATCTCAGATATGACCTAAAGCTAAAAAAAAAGAGCTGTATGTACACTATATTGCCAAAAGTATTCACATCCAAATCATTGAATTCAGGTGTTCCAACCACTTCCATGGTTACAGGTGTATATAATCAAGCACCTAGGCATGCAGACCGCTTCTACAAACATTTGTGAAAGAATGGGTTGCTCTCAGGAGCTCAGTAAATTCCAGCGTGGTACCATGATAGGATGCCACCTGTGCAATAAGTCCAGTCGTGAAATTTCCTCACTACTAAATATTCCACAATCAACTGTTAGTGGTATTATAACAAAGTGGAAGCGATTGGGAATGACAGCAACTCAGCCACGAAGTGCTAAGCCATGTAAAATCACAGAGCAGGGTCAGCGGATGCTGAGACGCATAGTGCACAGAGGTCACCAACTTTCTGCAGAGTCAATAGCTACAGACCTCCAAATTTCATGTGGCCTTCAGATTAGCTCAAGAACAGTGCATATAACTTCATGGAATGGGGTTCCATGGTTGAGCAGCTGCATCCAAGCCTTACATCACCAAGTGCAATGCAAAGTGTCAGATGCAGTGGTGTAAAGCACGGAGTACTGGACTCTAGAGCAGTGGAGACGTGCTCTCTGGAGTCACGAATCACGCTTCTGTGTCTGGCAATCTGATGGACGAGTCTGAGTTTGGCGGTTGCCAGGAGAACAGTACTTGTCTGACTGCATTGTGCCAAGTGTAAAGTTTGGTGGAGGGGGGATTATGATGTGGGGTTGTTCTTCAGGAGTTGGGCTTGGCCCCTTAGTTCCAGTGAAAGGAACTCTTAATGCCTCAACATACCAAAACATTTTGGACAATGTGCTCCCAACTTTGTGGGAACAGTTTGGGGATGGCCCGTTCTTGTTCCAACATGACTGCACAAAGCAAGGTCCATAAAGACATGGATGAGTGAGTTTGTTGTGGAAGAAATTGACTGGACCGCACAGAGTCCTGACCTCAACCCGAACACCTTTGGGATGAAATAGAGCAGAGACTGCAATCCTGATCCTTCTGATCCTTCTCGTC